CACTCAGAGGCACCTCCAAAGACAGGTTTGGTTATCTGCTGCCAAAAAAAATCGGTCATTGAAAACCCTATGGAGTGCAGTTCTGCTTTGACACACACAGGGCCACTATAAGTCAGAATTGATTCAACAACAACTGGATTTTTTTGCTATTGCTTTTTTAAAGAACATTGATAACCCACAGGAGTATGTGATATATCTAATTGGTAATTGGTATTAAAGCCATGTGGATCTGGAATATGACCATGAACTGATGTCTTCATCTTTTCATGCTAATTTGCCAATACCAGTGCCAAATAGTATCACATGAAAATGTTTTATGATAGAGAAACATTATAAGAGAGTATTCTTCTCTTATGAAGAAACATGTATTTAAACTATGGTTCTTTTAAAGGATATTAAAAGGAAAGAGGGGGAAAGAAAAAAACAAAAAAAAAAGCCCTGCAAAATAGACTCATTGTCAAGTATGTTTGCCTGAACCGGATTTAAAGTTGTCTTACACATTCCTTAATTAACATGAGAAGAAATTATGTAAATTGTATCTCTTTATCATATAAAGATATTTAAATAAAGGAATAAATTCTAAAAGAACTCTGAGGAAAATTTTTTTCCAGTGTGGATTCTGATAAATTTATGCTCTTTTTCTTCATTAAGGCAAAACACTAAAAAGAAATCATGAACTGTTGGACCATGTATTTTAGTTGTCAGTTTGCAAATAACCATTATTTCTCGTGCATGGCTATTCTTGGGATTATTTCCTTGCTCATTGTCCTGCTGTCAAATGGAAGGGGTGAAGCTCAGATCAATCTTGATTTTTTTGTCATTCTTATGAAATTGGGTTGGAGGTTAAACAACTCAGGGCATTAATTACCTGCAATCTTCTTCACTCATGAAGTTGTACCTGTAGAATCGCTGCCTGTGCTGTGCTTTGTAGCATCACAGTCTGATATACTCCTCGAGGTGCAGGGACTATGGGTTACATCCACTGTCATCAATTTGATTTAGACTCGGTGGCCCTATATAGTAGAATTACTCCATAGAGTTTCTGAGCCTGCCAGTCTTTATGGAAGCACACTACCATGGAGCAGCTAATGGGTTCAAACTGCCAACCTTTTGGTTAACAGACCAGTGCTTAGCCCACTGCACCACCAGAGACCATAGAGTGTGGTTACATGAGGCAAAATGGGAGTAGTGACCGGGTACAGGCAGAGCTTATGAAGGTAGAGTGAAAAGGATTTGGTTACTAATTGAAGATAAAGAAAAAAGTAAAATTAGTTTCTCTAAAAGTTCTAGAATCTGAAATAGGAAACATAAGAGAAAGACTAAGCTTTGGAATTATCTGAGCTTGACTCTGCACTTGTTAATATTCAGTAGTGGCACACCTAAGTTCACAAAGCATTTATCACTTTAGTTTTGAACTATTGTTGTTGTTAAGTGCCGTTGAGTCGGTGCTGACTCATAGCGACCCTACGCACAGCAGAACGAAACACTACCCGATCCTAGTTTCGAACTCCAATCTCCTAATTATGTTTGATTTATGTCTAAGTCTGCTCTTCCCAAAAGGCTCCAGGCATCTTGAGATAGAAACTATGTCTTATTCCTCCTTATCTCTTCACCCTTAGCACAGAACTTGTCCACAGTGGCATTCAGTAAGTGTTTGGTGAGTTTTGACTATGTGAGTTTAAGATGCCCAAAGGCAGCTGGAAATACAGGCGTACCTCAGAAATGTTGTGAGTTCAGTTCCATACCACAGCAGTGAAGCGAGTCACATGGCTATTTGGTTTCCCAGTTCTTATAGCTGTGGTTACATGATTGCAGTGGCTCCATATGATAAGCACTGGAATGTGAAGTACAAGTTTCATGGTTCGAGCCCACTAGATACTCTGCAGGAGAAATATGAGGCTTTATGCCTGTGAAGATTTAAAGCATTGGAAACTCTATGCAGGGTCACTATGAGTCTGAGCCAATTCAGTGGCACTTGACAGCAACAATGTAGACTATTAAGAATGCAATAGCATTGTGGAAAAGCTTGAAAAGATTGTAAGAATTACCAAAATGTGACAGAGACATGAAGTGAGCACCTGTTATTGGAAAAGTGGTGCTAATAGACTTGCTCAGTACAGAGTTACCACTAACCTTTCATTTGTCAAAAACACAAATACCTGTGAAGTAAAATAAAGTGAAGTGTGAAAGAAAATAAAGTGTACCTATACTGTTCTTAAACTCAAGAGCTGCAAGCTGGGAATACAGTAAAGGAGAGCATGTCTTTTATTCAATAAGCATACATAGTGCTTAGGGGAGTACAATGGCTTTGTACAATAAGCACTGTACTGTGAAGCACAAGGTCAGCGGTTCTAGCCCAGTAGCCACTCCATGGGTGCAAGATGAGGCTTTCTGCTCCCTCAAAGATTTACAGCCTCGGAAATTCTATACAGGGTCACTATGAGTCAGAACCAACTAGACGGCACTTAACAACAACCACATAATGCTAAGAAGCCCTGGTGACACGGTAGGGTAAGCACTGAACTGTTAACTGAAAGGTTAGTGGTTCAAACTCACCAGCTGCTCCACAGGAGTCAAAAGACACTGTCTGCTCCTTTAAAGGTTTACAGCCTCAGAAAACTCAAAACAAGGTCCCTTTGAGTCGGAATCAACTCAGTTGGCAGCGGGTTTGGTTTTGCTTACTATGTCTAGGCACTATTTAAGTGCTTTACAAATTAATAATCATGTAAACTTCTTCTCGTTAGGTGCCATCAAGTCAGTTCTAACTCATAGCAACCCTATACACAACAGAGTGAAACACTGCCCGGTTTTGTGCTATCCTCACAATTATTGTTACACTTGAGCCTATCGCTGCTGTCACTGTGCTAACACACCCCCTTGGAAGTCTTCCTCTTTTTCACAGACCCTCTACTTTACCAAACATGTTCAAAGTATTAGAGATGAAGTCTGGCCCTCCTGGCTACTAAAGAGCATTCTGGCTGTACTTCTTCCTACACAGATCGGTTTGTTTTTTCTGACAGTCCATGGTACTTTCTATATTCTTCTCCAACACCTTTAGCAAATGTATCAGTTCTTCTACTGTTTTCCTTATTCACAGTCTAACTATACATGCATTAAGGCTATTGAAAATACCATGGCTTGGCTCAGGCACACCTTAATCCACAAACTGATACCTTTACTCTTGAACACTAAGAGGTCTTATGCAGCAGATTTGTCTAATGCATTACATCGTTTGATTTCTTGACTGCTGCTTACATGAATGTTGATAGTGGATTCAAGAAAATAAAGTCTTTGACAACTTCAGTCTGTCTCTATCACAATGTTATTTCCTGGTCCAGTGGTGGGAATTTTTGTTTTCTTTACATTAAGGAGCCCTCCATACTGAAGGCTGGAGTGTTTGCTCTTCATCAGTAAGTATTTTAAGTCCTCTTCACTTCCAACAAGCAAGGTTCATGTCACAGCTTTTTAATGAGTCTTCCTTCAATCCTGATGCCACCTTCCTCTTTGTATAATCCAGCTTCTCAGATTATTTGCCAGCATAGAGATCAAGTATGGTGAAAGGACACAACCCCGGTGCACATGTTTCCTGATTTTAAACCATTCAGTATCTGCTTTGCTAGAACAACTGCCTCTAGGTCTATGTATAGGTTCCTCATGAGCACAATTAAGTGTTCTGGAATACCCATTCTTTACAACGTTATTTATAGTTTGTTATGATGCACACAATCGAATGCCTTTGCATAGTCAAGAAAGTACATATAAACATCTTCCTTACATTCTTTGTTTTCAGTCAATAGCCATCTGATGTCAGTTATATCCCTTGTTCTACATCCTCTTCTAAGTCTGCCTTGAATTTCTGGCATTTCTCTGTTGATGTACTGTTTGTTACAACTGTTTTGTAACCATCTTCACCAAAATTTTATTTGCGTGCAATATTAATGATATTGTCCAATGATTTCTGCATTCCTTTGTTGTTGTTGTTAAGTGCCATCGAGTTGGTTCCGACCCATAGCGACCCTGTACAGGGTTTCTGAGGCTGTAAATCTTTACGGGAGCAGAACGCCTCATCTTTCTCCCGCAGAGCGGCTGGTAGTTTCGAACTGCTGGCCCTAAGGGTCACCTCTTTTTGGAATAGGTGTAAACCAGTTGGGCAGGTTTTCCAGTTTCTTGGCATAGATGATTGTGTACATCCAGTATTGCATGTTTGTTGAAAGATTTCTATTTGTATTCCGTCACTTCCTGAAGTCTTGTTTTTCACCAATGCCTTCAATGCAGCTTGGACATAATCATGAAGCAGACTTACTATTATCCCATTTTCAGATGAGAAAACTAAGGGAAAGAGAGAGTATGTTATTTGTCTAAGGTCACACACCTAGAAAGAGCAGAGCTGAAGTTTCATGGTAGGCAGTCTGGCCTTGTTTCATGCTGTTTATCATTGCATCAGGCTTTTTAATAACACTAGATTTTAAAAAAACACAAAAATTCAATGATAACTAACAACAATTCTTTAAACATCTGCTATGTGCCAGTACCTAAAAAGCACCATATGCTTTTTAAGTTTACCATTTCATCCTCACAACTACCTCAAAAGTAAGTAATGTGTCTATTTTACAGATAAAGCCTTGGGATTCTTTCTCAGTAAAGGCCCAAACAAGCTTATAAAACCAGTGTGTTCTTAAAACCAAACAGCAGGTTAGCTTAACTAGTAAAAAATGGCCTGTATTAAGTACTGTGCTCATTTAAGAACTGTCTACCTAGGGTCAAATTGACAACAGAAACTTAAAAAATTAGATAAGAACCTTAGGAGGCAATGCATTTATGTTAGTGAGAAAGGAACAACATAATCTATGAGGGTGAAAATGACTGCAGAGCTCAAACAATGTGATCAGCATCACTAAGTGGTACATGTAGAAACAGTTGAATTGGTGTGTGCTTTACTATGTATATTCTCCACAACAAAATTAATTAAAGTGAAAACAATGTATGTATTTCTTTTTCAGCTTATTCTACCAGAGTCCATGAAGATATTGCCAGTGTACATGAATTGTCTGTTAAAAAGCTGTGTGCTGCTCAGTAGACCAGAGATTTCAACAGACGAGCGGGCGTTTCAGAGACAGCTGGTCATGACCATGGATGTGGCTGACTCTCAGCTCTTCCTCTATCCACAACTTCTGCCAGTTGTAAGCATGCTTGGGTTTGGGAAAAATTCATAATTTGTGCTTTTTCATATGTTAGATCTGAAGCATTTATTTTTAAGAGATTTGAAGTGCTGAGCTCAGAGACTTGAATAAGTTGCATATGTATATCATGTGTGTATCATATGTAATTGGATGTATGCTGAAAGGAGGAATTTGAGAAGTTACAACTTGACTGAGTTGTTCAGATGATTACTTTTCTTTCTTTATTCCAAAATTGGGAATTTTGGTTAGCAAACAAGCTAACCAAGCTTCAGGTATTCAAGAAATCTACTGTGTAGCATTAAAGGTAACATATGTGTGTGTATGGAGTCCTGATGTGGCAAGCACTGGACTGTTAACTGAAAGCACTGGGCTATTAACCCCCAGACATTCTTCAGAAATCCTATACAGGCTTGCTATGAGTTAGAACCAACTTGACGTAGTTAATAACAACAACACGTATGTGTAGGCGCTTGTGTGCACACATATATTTATCTATTTTTATACAATGTGTGAATGCCTGAGTGCCTGATTGTTATCACATTTAATCAGGTGCTGTCACCTAGTTCCAACTTGGAATAACTCTCTGTGTACAACAGAGCGAAAGCTTCCCAGCCCTGAGCTGTCTTTACAGTCATTCCTATTTTTGAGCCCATTATTGTGGCCAATGGAGCGATCATTCTTTCCCAAATGCAGTCAGAGGTTTACAAATCAACATATATTTGAAGGTACCTACAGCTTCTTAGTAAACTAGTGGACCAGCAAAAGTAAGGAAAACCCTCAATCAGATGGACTGACATCTGATAGTCAAAACAGTGGACTCAAACCAACAATCATGGAGATGGCATGGGATTGGGCAACATTTTTGTTGTTCTGTTTTTTGTTTGCTCACCATGACTCAGAGCTGACCCAAGAACAACCACCACCACCAGATTGCCCTTGCCCTAAGAGTGAAGGCAATCTTTCATGTCTTGAAGGTCCCTGCACTCCAAATTAGTTCTTTTCCCTTGAGACTAAACAGGTTACCATTGAGGGAGAAGAGAGAGGAAGGCTGATCAACTTATTTTTAATTTCTGTATCCAAACTCAGACTCTCACTTACATAGCATTCACCACTAAATTAAATTAGGTTCAAAACAAAATGCTTACGGTTCTTTCAAACAATGTGAACATCAGATGTGAATCATTACAAATTCATTCCAGTTAAAACTGGATTATCAAAAATTTATAAACCAGAGTACCAGGAACTGTCAAAGACAAGAACATTACCACTCCACTAAAATAGTTTTGGAGTCTTGGTGTGGTGCTATAGGATAAGCTCTGTACTGCTAACTGCAGGGTTTGTGGTTCAAACCCACCAACCACTCCTTGGAAACGTTATACAAGATTTCTATGAGTTAGAACCGATTTGATGGCACTTAACAAGACCAACAACGTTGTCTTGCCTTGGAATATTGCAGTAGCCTCCAAATAAACATCACTCTCCCTTTTGCCTCTCCTTTCATCTATTTTCAACACAGAAGTTAGAGTGATCTTGTTAAATCATGTTAAAACACTTGTCAGCTCATGTCATTCCTCTGTTCAGAACACTCCAGTAAAAGCCAAAACAGAGCTCTACTTCAATAAAAGCCAAAGTTCTTATCACCCAACCCAGTGTTATCTGTATTATCCTCCCCTCCTTCAATCTAATACCATCTCTGGTACTCTCTTCTTTCTCACTTCACTCTAGCCATACTAGCTTCCTTGCTCGTCTTCAAACTCTCCAGGCAGGCTCCTCTACCTGGAATGCTCTTTCCACTGATATCCATGGCTCCAGCTGTCATCTCCTTGGGTCTTTACTTATCAATTACCCTCTTAACAAAGCCTTCCTTATTTAGATTCGTAATACCCATTTCCACTCACTACTGACATACCTTACCTCACTTCCCTATTTTGTTTTCTCCCTAGAACTTAATACTATTTAAAAATGCTATACATTTTACTTGTTTTGTTTATCGTCTCTCTTTCCCTCCAAAACACATTAGCTGTACAAGGCAAGAATTACTGCCTAATAGAACAGTGCCTGGCATGCAGTGGATACTCATTAAATATGCATTGGGAAGAAGGAAGGAGAAAAGAAAGTTAAGAATGAAGGGAAGAAGGAAGAAAGGGAAGTAGGAAAGAGTTTGTAACTCTCTTATCTTTGCCTACACAGCATACATTAGATGTCAAGAGTACAACTTTACCTGCTGCTGTTCGTTGCTCTGAGTCCCGTCTCTCAGAAGATGGAATATTCCTACTGGTCAATGGTCTCAATATGTTCTTATGGCTGGGAGTAAGTAGCCCACCAGAAGTGATCCAAAGTATATTTAATGTGCCATCTTTTACACATATCAACACAGAAATGGCAAGTATCTTTGTTGTGTGTGGTAATATACAAAATATAAACACTTAAGTATATTTGTTAATGTGCAATCATATGTTTTACAAACGAGAGTATATATAGTTTTGTATAAGAATGAGATTTTTCCATGTTTTAATGAATAACAAGTTGGTTTAAAGTTATTTGTATAATGTTATCAGAGAACCAAAATGTATGATGTTTAATAGAAATTTCTGGTGACATGTACTAGTGACTGTGCTCTAAGTACTCTATGTCATTTAATTCTCACAACAAATCCTTGACATAGATATTGTTAATCAATATTTTACAGATAAATAAATTGAGGGTTGGAGACAAGTAATTGGCATAGGTGGGAAGCAAATTTAGATGTGTCTACATGGGCATATCCTCTGATTCATTCCTGGTACTGAACTGCATACTCAAAAAAATGGGCAGGAATCATTCACGGTTGTTTTGCTACAGATTAAATCAGATTAATGAACCAGACAATTATAATCCCACAAGAAAAATACCATCCTTTCTCAGAATTATAAGGAGCCTTGGGGGCGTAGTAGGTTACATGTTCGTTTGTTAACCTCAGGGTCAATGGTTCAAAACCCCACCAGCATCTCTGAGGGAGAAAGATGAGACTGTCTGGTCCCTCAAAGATGTACAGAGCTGGAAACCCCAAAGAGCAGTTCTACTGTGTCCTATAGGTTCCCTATGTGTTATAATTGACTCAACAGCAGTGGGTTGCTTGTAGTCAGAGCAGAAGATATTGTGGGTTTGAATGTAGAAATGAATACAATTTTTAACATTTTTTAGGAAAATCTAGCAATGAATCATAACTTGTTTGAAACCGAGCATTTATTGCCCACCTTATATGCAGACCTTTGCTGTATGAACATCATTGTTATGATGACTCTGGTCTTAACTCTGCTGATGGTGTGTTCTTTGTGAGTGCACATGTAGAACTCAACAGACACAGCTTGTGCCCTGAAACCTCACTTCTATTACATGGAAATGGCATGAGGCTAGCTCAATGCAGTAATTTCTGGTAGGAAGGTACAAGAATTTGGAGATAGCATTTTGGAGGAAGGGACAGGGTTGAAATTTAAGGTTGCATATAGGTGGGGTCATGGTGTGGAGCTGTAGGATAAGAGCTGGACTGCTAAAAGTTCAAATCTGCCAGCTGCTATCCAGGGTCACTATGAGTTAGAACCGACTCAATGGCACGGGGCAGCAGCAGCAACACAGGTGGTCAGTTTAGATAGCTGCATACCCATAATGAATGTCAACAGTGTATTTTTAAAGGAATTTAAAGATGGTTGTTCTTGTTACATGCCATCGAGTCGATTCCGACCCATAGCAACCCTGTAGAGGGTTTCCAAGGAGCAGCTGGTGAGCTTGAACCACTGACCTTGCAGTTCAAACGACTTTGTGGTCTCACTCATTAGCCCACAACGCCACATCAGGACTCCTTAAAGATGGTAAAGGTGCCTATATTCCATTAAGAGACTAGTGTTAAGGTTGTTGTTGTTAATTACCATAGAGTTGGTTCTGACTCCTGGAGGCCACATATGTGCAGAATAGAACTGCAGTAGGGTTTCCATGGCTGTGACCTTTTGCAAGTAGATTGGCAAGCTTGTGTTCTGAGGCTCCTGTGGGTGGGTTTGAGCCACTGACCTTTCAGCTAATAATGAAACACTCAACTGTTTGCACCACCCAAGACTCCTAGATTTAAGGTTGTTGTTGTTATTAAGTGCCATAGAGTCAGTTCTGACTCATAGCCGCCCTGTACAGGGTTTCCATGGAGTGGCTGGTGAGCTTGAACCACTGACCTTGTAGTTCAAACCAACCTTGCAACTAGAAATGGCAAGATGCCTGCATACAGTTGAAATTGAGGAATAATTAGAGTTACAATTTTTATAAACTAAAAAATTTAATGAATTAAATTTACTATGCAAAGAACTGTGCATCTGTTGGAAGTTTTTATAAACTTAGAAAGCTTTCTCTTACATCACAGTATATTGATATATTCTGTCTACCAATTGCCATCAATTCCAAATCATGGTGACCCTTATGTGTGTCAGAGTAGAACTGCGCCCCATAGTGTTTTCAGCAGCTGATTTTTTGAAGTATATTGCTGGATTTTTCTTTTGCGGTATCTCTGGGTGAACTCAACAACAAACTTTTCAGTTAGCAGCCAAGTACTTAAGTATTTGACATGATAAATACTAAAGCTTATTTGCTAAATTGAATATATAAATTTAAAAGTTAGTGAAAAAGTATGGCTACCAAATCTGATTTCGTTGTAAAACACAGATCTGTTGTTTCTCAACATACCCTCTATCTCGGTGTATACATTTCTGAAGGTGGTGATTCCACCTTTCTCATCTTTATTTCCCTGAAGAATTCTGTACTCTTTAATTTGTTGCTGTCAAGTCGGTTCTGACTCATAGCACCCAGGAGCATCTGGTGGGTTTGAGCTGTCAACCTTGTGGTTCCCAGTCCAGTGCTGATCCTACAGTGCCACACTATATCAAATGACATTTTGACATCCTTGAGAGACTCAAATCCATATTCCTTTTCAATGTTCTTTGAGTTTTGGGAATTAAAAATATCGGAAGGGGCAAAATCAGGGCTATATGATGGATAGGGTAATGATTCCCAATGAAATTCTCCTAGCTCTTGCTACCTTTGAAAAATCAGCAGGTACACTGCCATGATGAGAAAACATTCCTCAGCACAACTTTACCCACCAATGCAGTTTCCCACTTTCTTAAAAATTTGCCATGATTGTTGTGTTCTTCAAGAAACTCTGTCAAGATTGCTCCACTGGGATCCCAAAAAACAGTCACCATAGCCTTCTGAGCTGACCTCTTGGCTTTGATTGTAACTGGCTTAGCAGATCCTCTTGAAAGCCCCTGTTTTGAATGGATCTTTTTTTGAACACACCCTAATGAAATTAAAGGAGCTCTGGTAAGCATAGTAGTAACAAGTCAGACTGCTGACCTCTGACCTCAAGGTCAGCATTTCGAAACTATTAGTGGCTCCGTGGGAGGAAGATGAGGCTTTCTGCTCCAGTAAAGATTTACAGCTTCAGAAACCCTATGCAGGGTCGCTATGAGTCGGAACCGACTCCATGGCACATCACCCCCACTGCCACCACCAGTGAGACTAAAACTGAGAGAACTTGTCTGTAGTCACTCACTAATTGCAAAGACATGTTTAAATACTTTTTGTTTGGGATAAACCTGTGAATGGATGGATTGGAATTCTAGTAGTAATACATTTTGACTTACATTCATACATATAAAACAGCCAAAGTTTCTCTACACATTACAGCAGATTGGTAAGTTTGTGCCTCAGTACCTCTTTACAATCTTCTTTAAAAATAAAGTGAGAAAAAAAAACAAAAAAAAACATTGACTACTTTCTTTATAGAGGTATTTGGCACTTTGAAACATGTTATTGTTGTGTACTGTCAGGTTTAGCCTATTGTAATAGAGTAGAACTGCCCATAGGAGTTTTCTTTTCCATTAATTTATTTTTTAAGATTTTACTATGAATTGAGTGATAGTTTACATGGTAGATCATCAGTTTTGCACCCACCCAATTGTATTTTGTTTCATTGCAATGATTACAATCCCCTCCATGCACCTTTGGTTAACAGTGTTTACCTCTATTCCCTCTTTCATTTTTTATTGATGTACACAAAACACACAGAAAATATATATTCGTTTAAACGACCAAAGGGTACATTTTGCAAGCCAGCCTCCTGCCTGCCAACACACAGCCTTTGTCTTTCCATGAGATTAGAGTCCTCAGCTGCTCCATCTCTCCATGCAATCACCTCTGCTTCCATCTCTGGTGTCACTGCTTCTCTGGTTAGGATTCCTTGCTCCGCTCATGCTCTTCCCTGTTGATGGTCCTAGGGTCCTCTGTTCCAGGAATATAAGATTAACTACTCCCCCCTTTTTGTTACTCATTGAATCAAAAGAATCCTATCCCCATACTCTCCCATTCTCTTTCACCAGACCCACAGAGATAGGAGGAGGAACACTATTCAGTGGGATTCTGCCTTCCACCATATGCTCTGAAACTAAACAACCTCTTGAAAACTTGTAAACCAGCTACATAGTGCCTTTAGAGCCCCCCATTTTTGGTATCAAATGTCTAAGTTGCCTTTTCCTATCAACCCTGTACTGAGGGGATAGGCTTGAAACTTGATGTGAGGATGCCTTCCTTCTCAGTTGAAATTTTGAGCAACCACATCCATAAACAAAGGTCAAGTTCAGCAAATTGTAGCAATTTATACTTGCTTCCTGTATCAAACTTCCTTATCTTCTTCTAGTTGAGCTTTGTGTCCTTTCTTGTGAGTTTCCTCATAGTTTAAATGTTTCCATGTTCTTCTTGAATTTTCATTTTCTGTTATGTTGTGAAGTGTTAACTTTCTTTGAGGTTACCCTATATTCCATTAACTTTTCCCTCCATTTAGTGCAGTCTATTTTATCCTGTAATCTATCTGACCTTCTCACCATCTGGATCTCTGTTCCTACTTGCTTACCTTCTTTCATATTGTTATTTTTCTGATCATAGACTGACCTCCTAGTTTCGCTCAGTTTGTTCTTACAGTTTTGTTCTGTTTTCGACACTTCATCTGTCGATTTAGTTCTGGGAGGTGCTGCCACATATGTCAGTCTCTGGTTGTTGTCTGTTCTTGTTGGTTCTCAGTCCACAGAACTTCCTTTAGGATGCTTTGTAGTGCAGGGTTGGCTTTGGCAAAGTCCCTTAGCTTTTGTTTATTCTGATATGGTTTGATTACACCATCATATTTCATTGATAGCTTTGCTGGATAAAGGATTCTTGGTTGGCAGTTTTTTTTCTTTCAGGGTTTTATATATGTCTCCTCATTGCCTTCTTGCCTGCATGGTTCTGCTGAGAGAGCCAAGCTTAATCTGACTTGCTTGCCATTGTATGTAACACTTCTCTTTCCCCTAGCTGCTTTCAGGATTCTGTCCTTAACTTTGATTTTGGAGAGCCTGATTATGATATGTCTCGGTGATTTTCTTTTGGGGTCTGTCCTTCCTGGGGTTTGTTGAGTTTGTTAAATGCTTATCTATTCAGTTTTCAGGATGTTAAAATTTTCTTCCAGAAGCTCTTCAACTATCTCTTCTGTGGACTTGTGTGATTCTTCCTGTTCTGGAATGCCGATAATTCTTAAATGATTCCTCTTCATGTTGTCCAACATGAATCTTAGACCTTCTTCAGACTTTTTAATCTTTTTCTGCTTGCTCTTCTATCTTAGTGGTATTGAGAGATTTGTCCTCCAGTTCACTAGTTCTGCCTTCCATCTCTTCAATTCTACTCCTTTGCCCTTTCAGTGTATTGTCTATTTCTGGTATTCTAATATTAATAATTTGAACCTCTTTCTGTAGGTTTTGAATTATTTCCAATACTGTGTATATCTAATTTGATTGTTCCTGTAGCACTTTCCTGACTTCTTCCTTATTTTTCTCAACTCCATTATAAAGTGTTTTGAAACATTTTATAATCATTTTTCTGAATTCCTTCTCAGACATTTCCAAGGCCTGCCCTCCTTCCAGAATGGAGTCCAGGTCCACCTCTAGGTCATTTGTCTCTGAC